AGCCCTTTCGATGCTTAAGTCAGCGAATTTACTTTCTATAGAGAGAAAAGTGTACTTAGAGAGAGAAAGTAGAGAGAGAAGAAGAGAGAATTCGGAAAAAGTCCCCTCATTATGAATGATGAGCTATTTATAAATGTACTTTCCAAGTGGCAAAGTTGTAATTAGTTGGACAGATTAGGGGGTAAATCTGTACTTTGCAATGATTAATGATGGGCTGGATCATGAAGGGGTATTTTTGTCATTTCAGGTCACTGGGTAGGACAATGGACTTGGCCCAAACAGTAATAAATGACATATATAAGTTTTGACAATTTATGGGAATTGCAACGCATTAATGATGGTAATTAAGAATTCTAAAAATCTGATATCATTGCTTTATTTAGCTCTCATGCGTAAGAATAATAAAAAAGGAAGTTAGAGAAAATGGATATATTTTTTTAAAAACAATTGGGCTCCAAAAATGCTGGCCCCACAATACTGTGGGCCTGTTAGCCTGCCCTGGATGAAATCAAGCTTTATTTTTATATATATATATATATATATTTAATAAGAAATATAATTTGTTTAATACTGAGTATAAGCTAGCATATTATATGACATCTACAAAAGAAATTGAATTTTTTAAAAAAAATACATAACCAATTGAATAAAGTATCTTTCATCAAAATGACGATCATTTGGAAGTTCTTGTACTATGGGATATCTTTAGAAAAATGGTCTTGCAATTTGTTATAGTCGTGACTCGTGAGGATAGATTTATTAAGGATAAAAAAGTCATTAAAGTTGTATTTTCGATAAACTTTTAAAATAAGATCCATTTATAAATTTACCTTATGGAGAAAACTATTATCTAAAAATTCAATAAACAAAAAACTAGTTCAAACATAATTCCTAACAAAAAATCAAATCAAAGGAATTTTTTTTCGTGTACAAAGGCATACTTAGGGTTGATAATGATCCTAGCTTGTTCATGAACAATTCGAGCTCGGCTCGGTCAAAGATCAATTGGTGACTCGGCTCGGGATCTTAACGAGTCAAGCTAGAGTTATGCCAATCTTGCCTTAAAAGTTCGTGAATAAGCTCAATTATTTTTTTTCATATATAAAAAAAAAACATCGTATATATTAATTAAACACATATATTTATCATAGATATTACACAATAATAAGCTAGCATTTTTTCATTATATAAACAATAACCTCATCGTAAAATTAAAAATTTAATAATAAAAAATAAAGAAAACAAGTAAACTAAGGATAATAATAAGTCAAGGTAGTTTGTGAGCGGTTCGAGTTTGGCTCGGTCAAAGCTTGGCTCACGAGCCGATCTGACCATTTGGGCTCGGCTCGCCCGATTAGCAATGGACAAAAACCTAGATCAATTTTTTTTTTTTTTTTTTTTTTTTTAAATTTTCTCAAGCAAGTTAATCTAGTAAAGTATGTAACATAGTTAAAATTATTCACAATTCACCTCTTCATGAAGAAAGAAACCACCAATTTAGGCTGCAACGGGGGCGGTCGACGAACAGAGCAATAGAAACACAGTTGATGAGTGTAAGCATGTCGAAAAATCGAAAGAGTAACAACATCACCAACGTTTAATTCATGATCTTTACGAAAATTGTACCAGTTATAACCACTAAGAGCAGGTAAATTGTACTTTTTCCACTTTTTATAATACATCTCATACCCTTTTCCTTGACTGGCATAAACTGTTACCTTAATCTTACCAAGTTCTGCATAAATTTGTTCTTCTTTCTTTTAGAAAAACTACTCGAAATTCGATTTAGTCTTTTCTTTGTTTAAATACAAGCATTGAAGTTCACTGTTTAAGTCTCTTTCTGTAAGATCTTTTTTTACTGATCCACCTTGTTGTCCTACTATGTCTTGCAGACTGATGCAGGAAGATGGTGCTCTTGCTCTCGTTGTCGTAGATGATGATTTGGAGCGCGAAGAAACCGGTTTTGTCGAGATGGGATTTGATGATCAGGGATTGATTTTAATGGATGAGGATTTGGAGTATGGTGTCCAAGGGTGGATCTTTTCATTGATTCGAGTTGAAAGGCGGTCTCGGGGTTGAGTTTTGTGTGCTTTAGAGATAGAAGAATCAATGCAGCATCAGTAATTTCTTTGAGTTCGTCTCGGTTTATGGAAGTGGAGGCTGCGTTTTGGTCCATTGTTGTTGGTAAAAACAGGGGATTTTTTAGGGAAGTGTATTTATAACAGAAAAAACAGTATTGTAATTTATGGAGAGAAAAATTCATCAATATATATATTTTTTTTAAAACTATATTATTTAGAAACGAAAATAATGTGAAGTTGATAGTATTTTGGAAACCTTGGAAATATAGAATTACTAGTTTTGTGTCCGGGCGATGTCCAGATGGTTGATAAAACATTAAGATAACATTTTTACTTGAATGTTAAATACGGTTAAATAATTCGTTTTGATAATGTAGGATATTTAGACATACTATATCATATGGCTTATATTTGTATAATAGTGTACTTTTTGTAGTTTTGTTTTTAAATAGATATCTATGTTATTATTGACTTGAAATTATTATTTTTAAACTTAAATTATTTTCACTGAAGTGAAAGTATTTTTACCAAACTAAAATTATTTTTACTGATTAAAACTTATTTTTATTGATTCGCTAATATATTTTTTAAATAAATTAAATAACAATGCATTTTGTATGTGTTTAGCCACACCATCTGGCTGGACAAAGTAACTCCTATAAAAATGACCGAGTAACCCCTGTAAGATGGTTGATAAAATTTTAAAATAACATTTTTACTTGAATGTCAATAAATACGGTCATATAATCCGTTATGATAATGTAGGATATTTAGAAATACGATATTATATGGCTTATATTTATATAATAGTGTACTTTTTGTAGTTTTGTTTGAAAATAGATATCTATGTTATTATTGACTTGAAATTACTTATATTGAGCTTAAATTATTTTCACTGAACATAAAGTATTTTTACCAAACTAAAATTATTTTTACAGATTAAAACTTATTTTTATTGATTCTCTATTATTTTTTTAAAAATAAATTAAATAACAATGCATTTTGTATGCGGCTAGCCACACCATCTGGCCGGACAAAGTAGCCCCTATAAAACTGACCGAGTAACCCTTGTAATACTAACTGTGTAACCTCTAACACTGACTAAGTAACCCCTATCTATAACACTATTGAGTAACCACTATAACACTGACCAAATAACCCCTATAGCACTCACGGAGTAACTCTTATAATAGTTGGTGACACGGTTTGACCAGCTACATATAAAAGTTTGTGATTAAATATATTATAAATGCATCTTATTTTAAAGAACTTTTTAAAACGAATTTGATGATGGAAATAGGATTTTGTTATAGGATATTTATAAAAAGTTATGATTAACTTTATATATATGAAATATTAGAATTTTATTGATAATAAAACTCTATACAACAATTTTATCTTAAAAAGTATATCAAAAAATCGTTTACTTAGCATCATACGTTTTACAATAATACCTATTTATCACCTACGTAGCGCAATACTTGGCGAAAAACTGAAATGTCAAGTGTCGCTGTCTCGTGGCCTGCCTGCGAGACTGGCTTTATTTATTAGGATATGATATTAAGTGGATTTTAACAAAATTTCCATAAACTAACATGGAATTTTTAACAAAAATAAATTATCTATTCGTGAGGTTTATATATAAAGTGGATTTTAACAAAATTTCCATAAACTAACATGAATTTTTTTAAAAAAAAAAAAATAAATAAATTTGTAATTGTTAATGATAGAAATTAAAATAATAGAATCCTCGTGTTAACCAAAGTGCTCAAAGTTTCCACAGTAGAACAAATAAAGTTATACTATAAGTCTAACAACCACCATGGAGATCTCTCCGACCCACCACTTGAATCTCACATTATTCCAACTAATTTGTATATAGATATCTATGTTATTAGTAACTTGATATTTTTTATTGCATTTAAATTATTTCTAATGAACTGAAAATATTTTTACCAAACTAAAATTAATTTTTCTAATTAAAAGTTATTTTTACTGATTTTCTATGTTTTTATTAAAATATACTCCCTCCGTTCCTGAAAGTTCGACTCACTTGGCATTTGCGCGGTCTCCAATGAACATTTTTGAATATGAATATCTCCGGTTATGTATAAGTGAAAATTATAAAAAGTTGATATTTAAAAAAATTATAATAAGGAGAATCTAATAAGATCTCACATGTTTATTTATTTCTATTGTATAAATCATAAAATACGGTCAAAATTATTTTAGTTTGACCACATGAATAGTAAGTGAGTCGAACTTTCAGAAACAGAGGTGATATTATAAATTGATCTCATTTTAAAGAACTTTTTAAAACGAATTTTATGATGGAAATAGTAATGAGTTATAAAATATTTATTAAAAGTTATAATTAATTTTGTATATATGAAATATTAGAAGTATATCGATAATAAAACACTATACAATATTTATATCTTACAAAAATCTATCAAAAATTCGCTTACTTAGCATCCTATGTGTCGCAATAACACCTATTTGTCGCCTACGTGGCTCGACACTTGGCGGAAAACTGAAATGCCAAGTGTCGATGTCTCGTGGGCTGGCTGCGAGACCGGCTTTATATATTAGTAATATATGATATGATGTGATACTAGCCATATTGTAAAAAAAAAAAAAAAAAAAAAAAAAAAAAAAAAAAAAAAAAAAAAAAAAAAAAAAAACTTCCCCTTTTTTATTTCTGGGATGAAAATTGAGAAACCTTACAATTTACATAGGTGATATCGGTATTCATATGTGCCCGTTATACGTGTTAGATACGAGACATGCTTATTTTGAAGACTCGTGTACTCCGTAGTACATTATATTACTTAGGTCTAGGCTAGCTCAAGTCCTAGAGAATGATTCATACTGTAATACTGTATGAGTTTAAAATTCAAGGAATTTAAGGGTCAAAACTGGATGAGAATATAGGACTAAATAGAGAAAGTTTGTAAATGTGACATTAGTATAGAGTAGAAATCTGACAAGAAATTTCTCTTTCTGAATATATTTAGATCATGTATCAACCTTATAAACTGTGTTAAAAATAGACAAATTCATCAAACTCTGGCAATTTCGACAGATGTCTTGAGAGCTGCAAGAAGGCTCTTCATGATTCTGGGCTCGCCAAGCGGCACCTTGTTTTTGAGGGCTCCTTTTCTGGTTGCTCTGAAAGTTAAAGGGCCAGAGTCATTGCTGCCTGTTATTACTTGACAATCAATGTACACTCGAACTTGTGTCTTCCCATCGTCGATTTCCACAAAGCCTAGCCTTACCCCTCCTTCAATCTTGTCAACCTGTTAAACATTTCATATTAGACAAGTTTAATTTGAAGAACTATAGCTCCTATATCCTTCCCTCTGCCAAGTTATTACACACTACATGGTCACGCGTTTCATGTATGTTTGTGGTTAGTGCATATACGTCACACTCATAGCAGGCGAATGCATAACAATCCGCATCAGGGTAAAGGTATTTCACTTTCGTTCTATGAAAATGATGCTTTATGGCCTCAAGTTATTCATTCTCTTCTACTACTGCTGTGATGGCTAATAAATAGAAGTCTTCACTTTTCTCTTGTGGTATGAACCAGTGTGTAGTTGACTTAATTGCTGAGATGTCTAGTTTTGGGATTGGAGCACTTGCATTTAAGTATTCAGGTGTTCTGGTCACTGGTCAGGCCAAAACATTAACTGCTAATGATTGTGATAGTATGATCGAGAAGATGATAGCAAGATTCAAGGTATGGAGTTCAAGGCATCTTGCCTTTGCTGGTCGCCTACAGTTAGTGTATTTTGTGTTTATGAGCATCAACTTCTATTGAGGGCCAATCTTTATTCTCCCAAGGATATCTTGAAGAGAATAAAAACCATCTATAGATCCTTGTGGCCTGGACAAGATGACAGTAATAATCCGGGCTCTATTGCCTGGAACAGTTTGTTTTGGTCTAAGTGTGGTCGTTGGAGTATTAGAAACATATTAGTGTGGAATAGAGCAGCAGTTGGAAAGCAATTCTAGAACATTGCTAGGAAGGCTGACAAATCGTGGGTGAGATGGGTACACACTGTCTATATAAAAGGGATTGGAAGGAATACTAAGCTACAAGTAGTGCTAGTTGAGCCATACTAGGTAGATTGCAAACAAGGAAAAGGGCCAAAGCCTAGTCAAATTGAAGACATGTGGAACTGAAAATTGCGCCATTAGGTATGTGAATCCCACAATCACTTATTTATAACTCCGAGTTCAGTAACCAGTGCATACAGAGCCAACAGAGGTGCCAAAATTACTGATATGTGAATGCTTCTAAGATGATATGACAGAAGAACTAAGAAATCTCAGTTTGGGAAGAGAGTCGAGATAGCAGCAGTGGCAGCTGTAGTGTACAAGATCTGGGTGGGCAAGAAGTGAAGCTCTTGTGAACATGAAAGTGCCTACCATTTCTTCGGTTATCAGGTAATATGGGGAAGAAAGCATCCCAGCTTGATAGAGATAGGCTGAGGATGAATAATTCTGTTTTCGAACTCTATTTCCAATTCTTCTTGTATGATTTACAAAAGGTGCACATTTTCTTTAACATACTTTCATACTCCAAAAGTTATGTATGTTGTACAATATTGGGGAAACAGGACAGGTACCTAAAGGTTCCGGACTTGTAAGGTCTGGCCATCTAGTCCCTCCCCTTCGTATTATACAAATCAGACCACCACATTATCTATGACTTTATACACCGTATTAGTAGTATTACACTATCACAACATGGCATAATATTTCTATTACCACTTACGCGGAAACACCCTTAATATATTGTCGCACCAAGCGATCATTACACCTCTATATCACTGTGATTTCAAACACTTCAAAGGTAAGAGATGATTCAATTATAAAACTAATGAATAAGTAATTTAAGAAGTTTAAATTCAAGACACTAAAAAAATATAATTTTCCAGCTATTCCAAGAACCAAATTCAAGTACTATTATTACATAATAAAACGCTAATAATAATACAAGGAGTAAATAGAGGGACTAACACAACTAACCTTTAGTGGAACAGGAAGTGGCAACTGAGCTCCTTGGTTCAGACTGTTTGCCCACTGCTTATTAATCATTAAATGTCTTCAATTAGTCCAAACTTTTATCTTATAATTTACCACTAATAATGATAAAATGTTATGACACTTGTACAATTAACAAGATATATTGAAACAAATTTAACAAGATATCCTGTAACTATATTTGTCCCTGAGAGAATGTGCGAATAATAGTGTACTAAGTCAAAACGTTGTTATTAAAAAAGAACAAAAAGAGATTACCTGAAAGAGTAAAGTCTCAAACCTGGGAACATCAGTGTCTGAAGGCAATCTCATGGTTCCAAGAGAAACACCCTCATCATCATCACCGCCAACGCCGCCATCTTTCCCAGGTGATGATTTCACCACAACCGGCATATGCCGGTGGCCGGAGAAAAATAAGGAAGAATTAGGAGGGAGAATGTGATTGGGATTAGAATTACAAGTGAAAGAAAGTGAAGTTGAAATGGGATGATGACCTGAAGACAGACAGTTATTAGACTGTAAAATCTGTGGGTTGAGTACTTGTCTAGCAGTTGCTGAAGCCATTGGCCTCTTCACTGAATTCAATATAATTTTTTCTTTTTTTTATTGGATGGAAAATTTTATGGAAGGATGAGAAGTTGATGGCTGAAGAGATAGGATTTTGGTGGACAGTTGGACAGTCTTATGAAAAGAATTAGATTTTAAGGCGTTGCCTAAAAAAGGTATACTCCGTAATAATAATTTTATGAGTAAATATTAAGAGGTGAACTATTATACGGAAATGATTTTTAAGGGGTAATTTCAGTTGAGATTTGGCATATGGGTATTTAATACCATCCTAATCCATTCCCTTGCAGCCTTGCTTACTGTCCATTGTACACAGACTCCGATTGTCCCCACCACTAGCCTCTACCATCTTCACCGTTTTGCAATAGTTGCAACCACGAATGGTGGCAAAGGGATAGCTGATGAAGAGAAAGTGTAACCTTTGGGGGGGGGGGGAGGGAGGGGAATGGGTAATGTATTACCCTCGTATTTTTGCCTCAAGGTCAAAAAAAAAAAAAAAAAAAAAAAAAAAAAAAAATCGGTTTTGTACCTTATGTGTTTTTAGTACTCCCTCCGTTTTTTTTTTATTTGCATTACTTGAAAATGCACAAAATTTTAGAGAAATTATAAAATAATTTGAGTGGGGTTTAAAGTAAGAGAGAGATGATAAAATTTAATATAAAGTTACTAAATATAGAAGTGATGTATTTAAAACATCCATAAAAGAAAAGTGATGCAAATAAAAAAAAACGGAGGAAGTATTATTTTATTATCATTTTGGGTAATTTCAATTACTCTACAGTATTCTACCCATCCATAATTCCATAATTAAAAGTCTTATTTGTCTTTACACATATTTTTAGATAAAATAAACAGTGCGATTTGATAAAATAAAGGTGAAACAAAATACTAAGTAGTCGAATATAATGTGCACATGTTGAGAAGCATTAAATTTGAAAAACAGTCTAATGTTAACTTAAAAACAAAGCTTCAGCTTATCACTGAAGCATAAGATCAATGTCCAATCCTAAATTTATGATGCATCAATTCAACCACTACACAGTTTTCACAAATGTTCTTAAAGATACAAATACAAGTGAATTATATTCTTTATGTGTACAACATTACACATAATCCACGAATCCCAACTTTCGCAACTCATCTGGGTGTTTTACAAATTAGACTTAAGGTTTTATAGATTCTGTGATGTTGCTACAACAGAGGAATAATGTTCACCCCTAAAAAAAATATCGAAAATCCTTTACAAGAGAAACAGATGCTCTTGGCATTCCTGCGGACCACCCACCCCATTCCTTTTGGGCTCTTTTATTACCTTTTTCCTCGATAATCAAGAGGAGCAGGCTTCAAGCTTTGGAAGCAAGCCTCTCCAGGCTCCAGCAAAGCTGTTGGCCAAGTGTGCTTGTCCTTTGGCAAATTCATGAAATGCTACCCCCATATCTGCTGTTTTCTGTTCTTGAAAACGTACCATCTCTTCATTCATTAATCGAACAATAGTCTCAAACCTTCTAGTTGCTTCCTCACTTTCTGCTTTTAGCTGCAGTGACAAAAAGCGCTCTGAGATACTGGGGATATTACAAAGAAATTCAATCAACACCAAATTTTATGCTAAATTTACCTCCCGATATTCAGCCTCAGCATCTCCATACTTGTCTGACCTTGTGAGCATGAGCTTATCTCTGGAGGTTAATCAAAATATTAGTGGGATTCAAGCAATGGCTACATTATCAAACAGCAATTCCAGTTAAGACATAGTAATATGTGACTCATTAAGTAAAACAGAAATTTGCATTACAAGCAATATGCAAGGATCCCAAGTCTGGACCTTCCAAAGTAACATACTTCTTAAAGTAAACAAAATAAAGGGCGACTGGTGCATGATGCTTAAAATTTTAGAAAAAAGGATTCAAGAATCACACAGATTTATTTCCTTCAGCTTCACTGTTTCAGACAGCTCACAATGTTGCTTAAAGGCGGTAGCTCTCTCTGCTATAGTGGCCTGTTCAGCAAGTACCAGAAATTATTTGCAATGTTTCCAACAAATATATCTGAACATTCACGCTAATATTTCATGTTTTGTCACTTTTTTATTAAAAAAAAAAAAGTAATAAAATAAAAAGAAAAGTGCTTTATGCTTTGAATGAGCCAAAAGAAAACCTTGATAGACTGCACAGCACGAACATAATCTTTCAGAGGTTCTTCAAAACTCATTAGTAGATGGTGGGCCTGCACATTAATGTATAGCTTACTCAGATCCCCAACTAATTAGCCACCAAACAGAAAATTTTAGCTGATGACTAAAAGCTCATAATGGGTATACTACTAAGGTTATAACGAGAAAACCATGCCTCTGCTTGTAGCTTGATTGACAACTCTTCTGACTTTGTGCCAAGCTCAGCAAATGCCTTTCCAAGAGAATCTCCCTCACAGGCACCTAAGAGCTTGACTGCCTTTCCAAAATCTGACAGTGATTGTCCCAGCTCTGGAATTGAATATTGGATATTGTTTATAATGTCACAATGATTGCTATATGCCAACAGGTATAGTATCAGATACAGTAAGATTGCATAAAGCCCTTTTCTCACCTCTTTGCCTCTTAACAAGGCGAAAAGCATGCTTCTGTGCTTCCCCCAAGTGCTCTTCAAGCTCAAAGATATAACGTTTCATCTTCTCATACTCAGGAGTTGATTCTTCAACAGGCTTCTCCTTCCCTAAAACAACATCACTTACTTTGGATTGCATGTCCTGTAAAAAATGTAGAGCAAATTGTACATAGCATTTAAAAGATGAAAGGTATACAAAATTTTACCAATATCTTTCTCTCAAATAAATAATATTCAGCCAATAAGCATTACATTAGATACTTGATCAAACATTGGGTTTCCAAATTACCAAGACCATAAATGCATTTATTTAATTAAGCAGTTTTTGACAAGCAGGCTTTGTTTTGTTGATCGACAATACCTTGAAGATTTGCATTAGATCAGAAGGCTTCTTGAAAATACCAAGATCTTGAGCCCTCACTCTCTCCATTGTCTGACAAACACGAAACCCAACAAGATCATATATCAGTTTTCAGGATTACATGTAGAATAGTTGTCAGATAATAGTAGCAGTACACAATCCCAGTCTCCCAGACAGCAATTGCTTTAACCAATGAATAAAGTACTATTAAAGACAGGTCTTTATAGGCATAGCATAGTTCAAAGAAAAAAGAAGCTGCCATCAGTACATATTACAAGCAACATTTATCTTCACCAATCCTTCGAATATCTGAAGTCTTAAAAATCAACGAAAAACATAAGAATGATAAATCCAGCACAAAGATGAAAAGGCAATATAACATGTTACTATACATATGAAGCCCCACTCAGCAGCAATAGTGTCAACAACTACAATCTCGAACCATTGTACTCCCTAATTGGCCAAGCAAAGGATACTACTCTTTCTAGCAAATTTTGACAGTGGTAATCACCCATGAAACATGGAAACCATCTACCCCCTTTATTTTGCTATCCTAGAACAAGAATCATTTCGAAATGCTGAGAAACGGGAATTAAGGCCCAAATGGGAAAGAATAAAAAACGTTTCCGCTCAAACACATCCACCAAATAAAGGGAATACAACTGAATGACTTACCATTCAAGCTTTGACTACAGTAAACTAAGGTTTCTTAATCTCTTTCACTGTGCTCTTGACAGGTGACTCTGATCTCATGTTCTCAATCTCTCAGAACTCTCACTTAGTTACTCAGACCCGCATCAACCTTTGCTGGGTTGGTCTGCACTCTGCAGTCAACTCAAGTTCACTTACTAGCCAGTGCACTTTGTAAGATCCTATCTCTCAGCTTTCACACTCTCAGGCTCCCACAAAAATTGATTGAGGCTCATCAAAGAGACCACATGAAGCTCACTGCTTTCCCCCAACATTTGGAGCTTTGCCGGCAATTTTTTGTCACTGTCTGAGTCAAACCTCTCAATCAAATTGGAACATAATTAAAAGAAGAGCTTCGTTCTACTTCTCTGATTTAGATAACATCATTGAGTATATTTTTGTTTTAAGCTATTCTTTTAATTATGTTTATTGGTCGTATGTCAAACGAGAGGGTAATTTTGTAGCCCATCATCTCGCTAGAATAGTGCCTATCAGGTATGAACATGTTTGGGAACATCATGTCCCAACTTATATATATATATATATATATATATATATATATATATATATGAAGGAAGAGAAGCTCTCAGGATCTAGCTCTATCTCCAGTATTAAAATTCGAATGGGAGGCCTAAAATTTGATCATTGAAACTATCTCAAATCTCCAAACTGAATTGATGACTTAAGTTGATCTCCAAAGCCTTTCTCTCTTTGCTTCCCTCCCTACAACCACACTGCCGTCTTGTTAGGACATTTTGTAAATTTGGAATTTAGTGGCTAAGTTATAATTTGTTGATATATTTGACATTGCTGTTGCCTACTACTGTCTTTGCTACTTGGTGCATAGACGATTTTTAATTTTCCTTTCTTCTTTTATTTGAGTGAAATGTCCTCATATTGAACTTCTGGAAAAGTGAGGTTTTCCCATCAATGTTTCCGTGCTGCATAGGCAACCACCTATAAGATATCTAAATAGGTTACATGGCTGATGGCTCTAGTAAAAAAGGATCGAGTTTGTTTGCACTTTCTCTATTAATACCCCAGATAAAGACAGTATAGTGACTTTATTTTCTCTTCAGCCTTCAAATATCAAACCTTATCCTGCTATGTATTAGCTAAAGGAATCCTGTCCTATAGCTAAGATATGGTATATGTTACATATGGACTTCACCTATAAAAGATCAAGGTCTTGCAGGAAATCAAAAAACATATTTCTAACAGGAAAAAAAATTATGTGAGATCTTGAGCTTGCCTGTATTTAGATTTTCCAACTCTATAGCTTGGATGCTACTCTCATTGACCCATACATTAGCCACCAAAAAGAAAATTGACTTAATGAAATAAATACATGAGCAGTTCTGCAGATCTTCAACTGATTATCTAAGCTTTGATATAAGGATGTATTACAAATTTACAGGAGGCACTTATTGGAGGAGAAGACATGCATAGACTAGCCCTAAAAATACTAATTAGAGCTTTTGGCTAGCTGCAGCCTGTTGACAAAGGGGCATAGTCAGAAGAAAAACATTGAGAAATTGAGGGTACAACATGACGGCCATGATCAAAGACTGGACTATTTTACCACACAATGAATCAACACAGAAATCATAAAGATCGGCAGAAATGACACATGTGAAATATGTAACACCACTTCAGCAGCTATGAAAGCACTACTGTAGACGGATATAGTAAAAACAATAAGTTCCTCATTATTAATTGCCTAATGGATATCCAGCCATACTACTCTTTCAAGAAGATTAACAAACGCAATAATAAATGGCATTTATGGCATAATCAAGCAACTGACCTCTTCATCTGCCTGCAAAAATAACCTCAGATCATCACTTAGGCGAAGTTCAGGATGTGAAGCTATCCGGTTAACAAATAAATCCAAACCTTGACGCCTCATTTCAATGAATTCAGCACTGAAGCGAAATTTCTCTACAAAGAGTAAACAAAATCATATCAAGCATTTGAAACCAATAGTTAAGCTAATCAGTCCAACACTGCAAGTATTAGCATTTAGCAGCTCTGTCAAAAAGTCCAACAGTTTTTTAATAGGTTAACGATTTAACGAGTTCAAAAAAGTTTTTAAAACAAAAATTAAATCTACCAACAAATCAAGTACTGCGGATGAATTTCTCTAAAAGGAAAATATTTTAGCTTATGTAGCTGTATAAAGCCCTAACAGTTCATTTATTAGCTACAAGTATTTGAAAGGTTTAATAATGTCCATTACACAATGGCCATCAAAATTTAGATCCTCAATTTGATTTGTATGGAGCCTATCCTTTAAATCTTTTCCCATAATAAATGATAGTAAGCCATAATTTGAGTGCTATATAGCAAAAACAAGGTTCTATCACTAGAAGGCTCATGACCAAGTTCCACTGCTAAAAATAAAAACGCACTCACTCAAAAACAGTCAATGTCTTCGTAAATTAAGGATTGAAATCACCACAATTATGAGATTGCTTCAGCAGCCCTTTCCTAAAAAAAATGAAGGAAAGCCCTTTCTAGAACTTTAACACAAAAACACTGCCCTAATATTTACATGAGCACATACACTCCATCAACAGTGATATTCACTATGGTTTTCAATTCATTGTGATTATAGTTGTACAGAATTTCTATATACACTTCCTAAACACAGAAATGTATTAACAATGCAACGAAGTTTTTACCACTCAAAGAAACAAGATTAAGCTGCTTTGACTACTTTAGTCACCATAACCAAAATTTTGATGAACAGATGTAGCAAAGCACACATCATGATGGACACAAAGCACATTAGCATCAACATCATTAGCTTTCACAAGTGAAGTTTAAGTGTAACACCATACACAATAAGTAAAACCTCACCAACAGCACTTTTCTCTGGAAGAGGGGGTATAAAGATGCCTTTGTATCTCTCAAAAAGGCGATCACGTAACCAAACAAAGTCATTGTATCGTCGAATGACAATTTTTTCAGGCCCTTGATAATCTGGTAAGTTTGTCTGCCAAACATGAAGATGAAAACTAGAATATCAAGCTACCTTCAGGTTATATAACTTAAGCAAATATTAGCTAGAAACTGCATAAACTTTAATCATCCAATATCAGCAATGGATAAAATAGAACATAATATGCAATGAATAGATTTTGCATCTCTCAGAAAGTCAGAAGGCTTTTCTCTGTATGTCTGAGCTCATCCTCTCAGAATGTTTAGAACTTTAAATCACCAAGAAAATGAATCAAAATTTCAGATAGCAAATAGCAGTGAGATAAATAAATCTAGGAGGATCCGATTTGTAAACTTCTTCAATAGATATACAAAGTATAAGCAGCAAAAGTAACCAATATACACCCAAACCAATTGTGGGAAAAATCATTTGATTACTAAAAATATGATGTCATAAAGCCAGGAAGGATAATTTCAATCACAAACACACTCCTGTCATGTCCGAGAACATTTAAACATGTAACCTGATTACCAAGATATCAATAATGTAGGGTCAATAACTTTTTACGTGTATGATTCATGTTCTCTTTGGTACATACTAACTTCGCACATCTCAATATAGGTATTTGGGTCATAAGGTAGCAATTTCATTATCCTACAATATGTTACATATTCAAAACACAACTAAAAAATAAATAGAAAAAAAACATAGATGTCAAGAGGAAACCTTAACATCTATATTTTTTAGTTTGCCCCACCCGGTTCACTACATCCGGATCTGACCCGGGTTGCACACCTTGGCATATGGTGAGTGAGTCTCCCAACTAGAATTTTCTGCATTCGACGAGGCTCGAACTCGAGACCTCCCTTAAGCGACATCAAGCTGCTTACCACTTGAGCCAACTCTTGTTGGTTACCTTAACATCTATATAGTTCATTTAATTGCTACTACAACCTTAACCAAATTCTAAATTTATATTTTTCCATATAATTTTCAACACTTTCAAATTTCCCAAGGCAGCATTATATAAGCTTCTAGTTCAGATGAATCCAACTTACACATACACATGTACATATGCAAATCTCTAGCTCCCAACAGTCAACACGTTCAAAGATCCAGCAGGGGAGAAGACGGTATAAGAGTACTCCACTACCCCTCAAACTTTTAAACAGTTTCAGCATCATTAAGATTATTTAGAAGCTAATATATATAAGTACATACAACTTTTAAGGTTCAGAATGAGGGAAGGAGGCAAATATGCCCATTCAAAAATAAAAGCAATTAAAAAAAAATCTAGTCTATTACAAATTCAATCCTTCAACAGAACAAAAACTTAGCGAAAACAGATTCTGAAGCAAGGTGTCGGCTTGTTAAATACTAGTAATAGTCTTTGTCATTACTCATTAGAGTAGGGCGGTTAATCAAATGAATGGAGAGTGGCTTTACATCTCCTACTTGAGTAGAGTTCTAGTCATAGTATGATAAATCTTCCCAACAATACATGAAAATTGTGATGAATCTGGCTAAGCCTCCTATACACTTCACCTGCATGAAGCGCAAGTGCACAACAGCCAACAGGGCACATCAAACAATGCAACTCAGGTTGGTTATACAAGCACAATGATGTGGGAAGGTAACTAATTGAGGCAAGAAAGTATCTAGGAATTGTTAAGAAAGATAGCAAAGGGAAAAAAAATCTAGGAATAACTTGCCCTGCAACCTAAAACACTATATAAGCCTTGCCTGCACCTCTCACAACACTAAACTCATCCACAATCTCACAATATGTGATTCAACTCATCGGGTCCAAACAACACGTTTGACTACTTGGGCTTGCAATCCTAATATATCCCTATGGCAATAAACTTTCACTGCAGATATTGTGCACTAAGATTCTTCGTTTCCAGCAAATAAAAGATTGGAGCTAATTCTATATAGTGAAAGCATTTAGACACAGCAACAAACTTCGAAACTTCTTTTGAAGTCCTTCGCCCAAATGACTAGAATTACCACATATAACAGCTCAAATAATCTCCTCAGATCCCATAATAACAGCTCAAATCTAGTAATCTACTCATCATAATGCACGTGGAAAAACTACAGCTCGAGATCTTTACTGTACCAACATCCAGGGTTTCGGCATAAGACACCACAAACCAAACAAACCATTGCTCACCAAAATATACACAAATCAATTCAACTCTATATCACATCTTATATACCTATTATGCAAATATACACATATATACCCAAAATTCGACATTATTCCACGCAATCACTCAGTAGTCCTACATCAATCTTCCAAAATCGAAACCCCTTCTACATCTATTTCCACAAAAAGACCTCAAATTGAACAAAAACAATTCTGAAATTGGTCAAAATGACTCACTTAAGCAACAACATTACCCCAATTCACAACAAATCTTCAGATAGTCATCAAAAATTGAAACTAATCCAATTTATGAAATTGACAACAACAAAACTATATTGAATAATTACGAAATTAAAACAGGAAAACAAAAAACAAAAAAAAAAAACAAAAAAAAAAAAAAAAAAAAACCTAATTGAGAAAAAATTGAAAAAATTACCTTAGTAAAGACTCTGTAAGAGATGTAAGCTTGGACGCCATTGCCTAATTTGACAGGATCAGAGACTGAAACTGATAGAAATGGCTGAGATTGAGGAGATCTAGGGCTTTGCGATGAACCTGATGATGAACTTCTCTGATTTTGCTGCATTTTTTTTGGGAATTTGATGAGAGTTTAATTATTTTTTCGCAACAAAAATGAAGTTTTTTTGTGGAATACGAGTAATTGGAAATGGAAAAGGAGAGTAGAAAAGTGGAAAATCAGTCGTTCGTTTTTCTGTTGGGGAAAGAAATAGAGTGACCCGATTTGTTGATCAATCCATTATCCATTTGGCCTATATGGGTCTTGGCCTCTTGGGTTGGATGCCCTGAGACTTGAAACTGAGATGTCAAAAATTGATCCAACGGCTTGTGACAATTAAAAGTTTAAAACCAAATTAACTCGATATTTCTGTCTCTTCATTTTTGCCTTATTATCATTTTTTGGGTCAAACTTTGAAAATTTTGACCATAAATTACCGTTAATCTATTTAAGATAATATAGTCATATGTGGTCTTATTAGATTCGTCTCATTGTATATTTTATTAATATCACATTTTTATAATTTTTACGTTTATGGAAATAAATATATAGAGGTTTTAAGATGCGTCTTGGGGACCGTGTACAGTCAAATTAGGCAAAAAAAATTAGGGACAGAGAGTATATTTTAAGGTCATGTTCACTTCACCTTATTTATACAATTATACTTAACTGAAATTATTTCTACTAAACAGAATTATTTTTTCTGAACTGAGCCCCTATTCATTTCACCTTATTTTTACTGAACTTAATATTTTTGTGAACTTAAATTAATTTTACTATTCTTGTATTATATTTTGTTTTTTAAAGTTACTGATTTTTACTGAACTGGAATTAATTTTACTAAATTGAAAGTATTTTACTGAAGTGCAAATATTTTTACTGATTTTTTTTTAAGGTGAATGGAACAAGGCCTAACATTAACAAAAAAAAATTCTCAGTTAGGCCTTGTTTGGTGGTAGCAGTCAACATATGGACCAAGTCAAAACACTAGTAGGAAAAAATAAGAGCGTTAGAGACTTAGAGCATTTCATGTAGCAATTAGTGGTAGAGTTGGGGCGTGTCCGACAAAATATAGATGTAAAGGTAGCGATTAGTTGTAGTAGTAATTGTTAGCTATGTACGTAGTTGTTAGCTGTCAATAAACAGTTAGCTATGAAGATAGATAATTTTAAGCATGAGTGTTTGATAAAGTAATGGTTCACTAGCTGTTACATAGAAAATCAATATTTTGTCCTAAAACTATAGATTAAGATTCTAATAGCAACCTCTAACTTCAAAAGCTAATATTTCTAATTTTTGATAGAATTAAGCTACTTCCACCGATAAAAACTACCCCAATCACTACCAAACACTCTTTTTTTTTTGTTAAGCAGTGGTTTGGCTTGGTCAAACCTCTAAAAGGTACTTAAAAGCTACTGTCAAACACGCCCTTAGTGTTTTGGTTATTTTTCTCAAACGTTAAAATTGTTAGCGTTTGAAAATATCGAGTAGCGTTTGACAAATTTTGATTACCTTTTAAACATTAAGTATGGATTTTTATTGTATTTTAATAATTTAACCGCTATTCTTGCCAAACACTCATACTATTAACCGCTATATTGATAGCTAATTAATAACATGTACCATCTACTAGTTGACATCTATCCACTACTCTAGTAGTTACCCACAACTCGACCACTAAAACTATTTGATAACGCTAGTTTTGCCAACTTAAGGCTTGTTTAGTTCAACATATTTATACTTACTTCAAAAAAAAATAAGTTCTGATTAGAAAATTAAGTTCAAATCATATCAGAAAAATAAGTTCATATGTGCAGTTTTTTATCGCTAAATATCTTTAATTTCAAAATGAAAAAAATTATGAAAATTACATATTAATAAAATACACAATATTATTAATTTAACAAGATCCCACTTGATATATATAATTTTTTATAGATTATCGTACACTTAAGGTCAAATTTTGGTCAAATCTAACAATCTTATCAAACCAAATCTGATAAGCAAAAATAAGGTGAACTAAACAAGCCTTTAGCATGGAAGGATGATGCAAATGTTACAATTGTACGTTATTCTAATAAAGTTAGTGAATGATGGTGATTTCAGGACGTGTACGTTATCAACTATTGTTTCGTGTTGTTTGCGAAACAAATTAAGAGGTAATACGTCATACGTGCTCATAGTTATTAATCCGAAAATAGAGTTGGGATTGGTATGCGAAAAAGAGTACAGAATAAGCTACTTAAATAATCGAGAATCAAGATCTCTTTTAGATTCCATAACCATTTTAGGCGAAAAAATTATAGGCATCATTTTACAACATTCAAAATAAAAATGTGGCTAAAGTAGGTTCGATTTGGCTCCTTCAGATTATCGGGATTATTTGACTCGTAGTTTGCGGCTTCAATGTAGGGATTCTTTGGATTCTTATTTGGGATTGCCGGTTGATTTAGGGAGGAGTAAAGTTTCGGAGTTTCGTTTCCTGGTGGATAAAGTGTCAAAGCGTCTTGCTTATTTCGCTTCTCTTCGGCTTTCTTCAGCTGCTACGTTGATGAATATCAATTCAGTTCTTTTTGCTTCGTTCAACCATATTTTGTCTGTGTATCAGATCCCCTCCTCGATCTGTCAACATGTTGATCGAATGCTTGCTCGTTTCTGGTGGCGTTCCGCATCTTCATCTTGGGGGATGACCCTTCGCTCTTCTTCTCTGATTCATCTTCCTAAGGGCTTGGGCGGACTAGGGCTCCGTAGTTTGCAGAGCTTTAATTCTGCCCTACTTGCCAAGCAGAGTTAGCGTATATATCGGTATCCTCAACTCCTAGTTTCACGTGTGTTATCGGCAAAGTATTCTTCCCTTCAGTCTTTCCAGCCTAGTCGGGTTTCTCGGTCTTCGTGGGGCTGTTGAGGTCTTCTGGATGGTATGTCCACTCTGGCTTAGGGGATTGCGTGGAAAGTAGGTTCAGGGAATAGGTTCGACTCCTCGAGGATATTTGGACCCCTGGGGGCCAGTTTCCTTCAAATCTGGTCTGGGTGAGTCGGATGTTCCGACTCATGTTTCTTCTATTATTGATCTGCGTTCATACGCGTGGGATACTTCTAAGGTCCATCGGTTTTTCGACAATATAACGGCTTCACGTATTGTCTGGTGACCGCCCTCAGAAACTGACGGATGATTTTGTTTATTGGAAATTTACACGTGATGGTCAGTTTTCCACTAAATCAGCTTATGCATTGCTGATTCGCCAGTCCATGGTGTCAGTGGCCAGTGATCCGGTTCCAGCTTCGTGGTGGAACGCTTTTGGGGAATGACAATTATGTCCAAGTTGAGGATGTTTTCCTGGAAATTGATTCATGATAAGACCTCTTTCTGTTACTTTGCATTCCCGGGGATTTCCGATTAACCCCGTTTGTGTTCTTTATCATGATCACTTGGAAACGACTTCGCATTTATTTCGGGATTGTTCATTTGTTTCTCATCTCTTGACCACTGGTCCTTTGGGACTCCAGAGTACTTCTTTAAATGTAAACTCGTTTACTCACTGGTTAACAAAGCTGGTTTTTGGTTATGGGAAGTCTCGAAATTGGCATAGTCTAGCCACTTTGGTCTCTCTTTTGTGGGCTATTTGGCTTACTCGTAATCAAATTATTTTTAGACAGGCGGTCTGGTCTCCTGCATGCTTCAGTTCTTCATATTTCTACATAATGGGTTTCGCGTAGTTCCGAGGCTGCTACGATTTCTAGCTCTGTTTCGTCCTTCTGGCGACGTCAGTTTCCATGTCCTCCTCCCGTTACATCTGGGTGTTTACATGGCTCGTATTAAGGTATTGCAGATTGTTGTATAGTCTTTGATGGTGCTTGGAATAGTCGTGATCAGACTGCAGGGGCAGGTTGGATTTTCAGAGAGGAGTTATCCCCTACTGTTTTGGGTGGGTGTGCTCGAGCTTGTCGGTCTTCATTAGCTTTACAATCGGAACTACAGGCTTGCTTATGGGCTCTTCAGGCTACTAGACGAAAAGGTTTTTTTAGTCCTCTACTCTTTACGGACAACACAGTTCTGGTTTCCATGTTATGTCGTTTGTGCTCGGATGATATTTCTTGTGTTTGGTTGTTGGAGGCTACCTGATCGAGATATTTTATTACAATTTGATTCCCATTGGATTCGTAAGGTTCCTCGTCTCTGGGTTGCTCCAGCGCATTGATTGGCTGTTCGGGCTCGTCAACGCCATTTTCTTTTCTGGTCGTTTTGATTGTTACTTGTTTTGGTTTTCTTATTTTTAGTTTTCTATGTTGTTTTGTGTATTCTTGCTTTAGTTTGCTCTCAGATTGTACTTTTATTTCGTTATATAAAATCTTTGTCACAAAAAAAAAATAAAAAAAATAAAATAAAAATGTGGCCATGTGGGCTATAATGTGTTAATGTTTAATTAAGTATGACAACATTAAAACAACATTTGATTTAAACCATGATGAAAAAATGTGATTATAATAACTGCATTAGACCATAGCATAATATTTATGATGTTAAACCACGATCCACTTTCGGATATTCCTTTCTTGTACTATACCAAACACGGACCTATATTTCAAAATAGATGACGACTTCCTTTTCCTTCTCATGTACACTGCGTCTTTCCGCCACGTCTTTCTCCCTCACCATTTTCTATATAACCCATTCCTCTCTCTCACTTTCCCTTCTCACTCCTCCTCTTTCTCTCTCCTCTCTCCTCAAAAATGGAAATCAATGGCGTCTCCTACTACCGTTACCGGAAAACACCTTCCTCCGATCACTTCCTCGGCGTCTTCTCCATCACCTCCGCCTCCTCCGGCGACATCTCCGGCGACGAGCTCACCGAAGCTGACCTCTTCTGGACCGGCGACTCCTCCGATTCAACTCACTCCTCTTCATCTCCCGACTCTCGCCGTCGTACCCTAGGGTTCCGCCGTCAATCCGGAATCCTCGCCGCTCTTCCCGACGACTGCGACAACCGGACGATTCCGACTCAGTTTCGGTTGATCCCTAAGGCGCCGAACCGAGTCGGCGGGGAGATGACTCAGTCAGCGCCGTGTAGGAAGTTTCAGCACTCTGCTCCGGTGAATGTGCCGGCGATGGTGCGGAAACCGAAGAGGTTCGGTCAATTGGACGGGTTTTGGGAGGAGAGAGAAAATGAAGAAGATGAGGAGATGCTTCCGCCTCATGAGATCGTTGCGATGAAGCTGAAATCGACGTCGTCGGTGCTCGAAGGCGTCGGAAGGACGCTGAAAGGTAGAGATCTGAGGCAGGTTCGCAATGCCGTGTGGCGCCAAACTGGTTTTCTCGACTAATTTCTGAAGAAAATGTTGGCTAAATTTTTCATGTTTTTTTTTTTTTGAAGGGGGGTTGGGGTAGGTGAATGTGAATGGAAGTTGTTTGTTTTTGGTTACTTCTTTCATTATCACTGTAAAATTAATTAAAAGGAAAAAAAAAATTAGAAAAAATGGGAAAAAGTAGAAAAAAAAAGGGAGTATATATAGGTAGACCGTAGACATTAGTAATTCTGGTTGAAGATGACGTATGAATTGGTAACTTGCTAAGGTTGGAATTTTTTTTGGTTGTGTTTTGGTACGGAAAAGAGGCAAGGGTATTTTAGTCTTTTTTGTTATTGCGTAATGCTATGAAGATGTAAATTTTTTTAAAATGGATTTTACATCTGCGGTTTATTATATATTCGAATGTACAAGGTTTTGCGTGTTACACTATGCGCATCTCATGGCTTGTATGAGTGTTTATTATGTATTCGGATGTATTTAAATGAATGTATAAGATTAAGGTTTTGCGTGTTACACTATGCGCAATAGCCGGATGTATCTAAATGAAAGTATAAGATTGTATGGATGTTTATTATATGTCCAGATGTATTTAAATGAATGTTTAAGATCAAGGTTTTGTGCGTTACACTATGCGCATCTCACGTGCTTGTATGAATGTTTATTATATAGCTGGATGTATCTAAATGAAGGTATAAGATTGTATATTTGTATGGATGTTTATTATATATCTGAATGTATCTAAATGAATGTATAAGATCAAGGTTTAGCGTGTTACACTATGCGCGTCTCATGTGCTCGTATGGAAGGTATACATCTAGGTGTATAAATTGGAGCAATCGACTCGTGTGTAATACTTCTTGAAATATTGGAATTTTATTTTGTGGACTAAGTATGGGTATCAATAAAATGAAAAATGTGTTGTTTTAATGTGGTGTAGGTGGTTGCTTCACAGAATATAAGTTGTGTTGCAAAAGTGGACAACAATCTAGGATACAAATGGAAATGTTGATTTGCATGGTGTAAACTTGGGAAGATCCTTTTTTGTGTGAATTTTGAGAATAGTTGTGCACTAGTGGACAAAATATCATGAATTTAGTGGGGATCATGAGTTCTGGAAGTATGTGACCTCAATATTCTCTCTATTCCAACTTCCGAGCAACTTTCTTTCTTCCCACACAAAATTGTTGTGTACTCATACTCACATACTTCTTGTCACAGATTCACTCTCTTGGTTTTGAATTACAGTAATACTTCTTGTCATGTACTTCCTTTGACCCCTTTTGTATGTACGTTGAAAACATTAATAAGATTACTCCCTTCAACTCTTTTTGTATGTAGGTCGAAAATTTTGGTGGATAAAATTACTCCTTTCAACCCCTTTTGTACGTAGCCATGTAGGTGAAAAATTTTGATTTGATCAATTTGGTGGATTCTCATGATCAATATAATACTCCATACATATATATTCTACATAATACTGAACAAACTAAAAGAGGCAACTCAAAAAGAAAGTCGGGAAATTTAAAGGGCCGATAGGAATACCATTTATGTACTACAACACTAAGCCAATACAAGGATTAAGGTGTACTAAATTCTACTGTAGTTTTCTACCATGCATGGCAGCAATTTAGAAATCTTTGCATTGATGAGATTAATAATGGTGATTGACATTGTTTTACCAGCTTTAATTTCCTCAATAGAAAGGCACTAACTGTAACGGTTCGATGGAGATGTGGACTTGTTATTAGCATGCAAAGCTGTTGGCAGTCTGTTGCCATGAGATTTCTTAATGGATGTCAATTTAAAAGTTCAAATACAAAATACAATTGCAAAAGCAATTCAATTTATCAAAATATCAATTAAATATGAGTGAAATTTAATATTTTTTACACCAGAGTGAAATTTAATATAGTCACACATTTGTTGTTTGAATCTATTTTGGAGTAATTTTGATTTTTTCTATTAATGGTATGGAGTAACGATTTATAATTGAAACTAGTTTTTGGGCCCGGGCGATGTCTCGAATTATTACATGAAACTGATCATTAATATACGTTGTAATTTATGATTCATTTTTCTTGAAATTAAATTTGTTGTTCATATTGTCATTTGCTACATATTAATATTTTGTATTCAAAAGATTGTATACAAAAATCACATAGCTTGGTGGTAAGACACTTAGTTTTACAATTGAAGGTTGAGTTCAAATTTCGTGGAGAATTTTTTTTTAATTATAAGTACATGACATATAATGAAAACAAATGGAAGGGACCGGGAGCCACGTGGCGTTATGAGCGATTGAGTGGGTGACGTGACATAGTGAGGGAAGTTTACATGATACATGAACGTTGTTAGAAACGCCTTTTACAAAATATTTAGCATTAAATGCTTGATGAAAAAAATTTAAGGCTTATTATAGAGTCAAAAAATTGTTTAATAATAAAAGCTCAGTCAAATTTAAAGTTCAAATGACATGATCATAAGAATAAAGTAACATGTAATTGATGTTAATTACTAACAATTCTCACACTATGATTTACTAATACAAACACGCTTAACCGAGTACGTAGTTTCCCATCTAGTAGGGGTGAGCAAAAAATTAGGGTACCCTGAATCGGAATCGAAACCTGTTAGGAACTGCAGGTTCTGGAATTGAAACCTGTAAGAGGTAAGAGGTTCCGGTTCCGGGTAACAAAATGGAGAACCTATTGCAACAAGTTTCGGTTCAGGTTCCCAATTTTTTGGAACCTGTACCTGTTAAAAGTATCACTTAATTTTAAATTATACACCAATTCTAACTTATTTTTTAAATAATAATATCAAAATCACAATTATAAATATACGTAATAAATTTGTAAGACAACTACTGTTTTGGGGATTTTTACTCCCTCCACGTGGACCAACTAGAGTCTGACACGTGTCAGCCAAGGGAGAGTCCAAAGTGGACCTACCCGGGCTCGACATGTGGCAGACAGATATCCCACATAGGATTGGCGGCCTTCAAGGCCCAAACACCTAGGCATCCCATCAGTCCTAGGTTTCCTTAACGTAGGACGGGCACGAATCCCAAGACTCTATAAATAGAGGTACATTCCCACCTAGGGAGGGGGGATGGAATACATTCAATCCACACACGAGAGTAAATACTTAGATATTGAGGTTGTCTATGATAGCCGGATGATCACTTCTCTCCTAAGAGGAGCCTGATCCCATTTACATTCCGCACCCTTTACATCCGAAAACGTTCTAACTTAATCGTCGGAGGCGGAACTCCCACCCACCGGAGTCTCCGTTGTTTTACAGGTACAGGCGCCTGGAAACCAGTCTTCGAATTGTAACTCTCCCGAAGGACACAGAAAAGACCGCGAAACATTTGTCACCGTCTGTGGGGAGAGTACTTCTGAGATGGCGTCACATGAGTCTGTATCGCCTCTTAATGAGAAGCAGCCCTCGGCCGAGGTCCAGGTCTACTCAGACCAGGACCACTACTAGAAATAGGCCGTTTTCCGACGGAATCATTCCGACGGACTTATATTCCGTCGGAAAAGTTGTACTTTCCAACGGAATTAGAATCTGTTAGAAAATTCCGTTGGAAAAGGTATATTCCGACGGAAATTCCGTCGGAATATTTGCGACGGAAATTAATTCCCTCGGAAAAATGGTGTTCCGACGGAAAATTCCGTCGGAACTTCAAGTTATCGACGAAATTTAATTCCGTCGAAAATTTCCGACGGAATATTCCCTCGGAAATATCAATCATTCCAACGGATTAAAATTCCGTCGGAAATTTCCGACGGATTAAAATTAATTTTCGACGGATTTCCGACGGAATTTCGACGGAATTTCCGACGGAATCTTATTTAAAAAAAAACCCTAATGAACTCCCACCCCCTTGTAAATTCCGCCTCTTTCCTCTTCTTTTAATTTTCTGTTTTCTTTCTCTTTCCTCGTCTTTCTGTTTCCCCCTTTCTCTATTTCCTCTTCTTTCTCTTTCCCCCTTTCTCTGCTCCACTTCTTTTCCCCCTTTCTATTTCCCCTTTCTGATTGATATATACTTTTTCTTATTAATTTAAAGTACAAATACATAATATGGGAAGACATTCTTGCTGCTACAAGCAAAAGCTTTGGAAAGGCCTATGGTCTCCTGAAGAAGACGAGAAGCTTCTTCACCATATCACCCAGTACGGCCATGGTTGCTGGAGCTCCCTCACCGCCTCTTCTTTTTCCCCTTTCTCTACTTCCCTCCTTTCCATATAGGTGGAATATTGGTTAGTTTGTAGATCTAGGTTTAATTTTCACAAAATTTATGATTATAATTATATTTTTGATGAAATTGTAATGTAAGTTTATAAATTTGTAATGTACGTTTTTAGATCTGATTTTTCGATTTTTTTGGTAATGTAAGTTTATAAATTGTTTTTTCAATTTTTCGATTTTTTGGTAATTTTGTAATGAAATTGTAATGTATGTTTATAAATGGTTTATTTCGATTTTTTGGTTATTGTTTCGAATTTTTTCTGTTTATTTTTTGGATTTTTTTTGTTTGTTTTCGATTTGGTTTATTGTGGTGGTGGTGGGAAGGGCTTGGTGTTGTGGGGGTGGCAAGGTGGAGTGGGTGGCGATTAGAATCTGGCTGGGGAAAGTGGGTCTGGGTGGGGAGTGGTGGCGGTTAAGGGGTATGGGGCAAGGAGTGGTGGCGGTTAAGGGGTATGGGGCAGGGGATGGGTATGGGGGCAGGGGGTGGGCTGGTGGTGTTGGGTGTGGGTGGGGGTCTGGGCAGGTGTGGTGTGGTGTGGGTGGCCTGTTTTTTTTTTTTTTTTTTTTTTTTTTATTGACAGTTCCAACGGAATATTCCGTCGGAATGTACCTCTTCCGACGGAAAATTCCGTCGGAAACCTCTCCAACTCCGACGAAATTTTCCGTCGAAAGCTTGCGACGGACTACCCATTTAGGTTAAACATACGCTCCGACAATTTATAATCCGTCGGAATGGACCTTTCCGACGGAATATCGCA